GGGGGGGGGGGTCGTATCGAGGCCCTCTAGAGGGGGAGGGGGGTCGTAAAATTTTCGAAATTGGTCCAACGTGACGGTTGACCTTGCACACACGTACTACTTCCAAAACCAATAAAACACCAATTCTAATTCTTATAATTCCGTACGAAGTATGAATTATAAGAATTAGAACTGGTGTTTTATTAGAAAGGAAAACTTCAGTAGAACTAGGCTATTCTTTTGTTTGACCTCATACGATAGTATTTTTACGAATACAGTTTCTAACACCGAAAAATCCAATTTTGTTTCATTCGTAGTAACACAACTTCCATATAATTATTCAGTTCCTCGAATCATCTAGCAAATTACCAGCTCTGAGCAGCTACACACATATAATTTCACTTTCAGGCGTCTAATTTGCATGAGAAATGAGAGTTACATGTCACGTTCGTGGCTACTTCTTCTTCACCGGAGGAAATGTCAATTCATCGGTTATGAAAGAAGTGTTGAACAAGGACTAAAGTAGAGCTACAGATAACATTCGCTCCAAGGATGGGTAAAGGATGGAACCATGAGAAGATTGGAATTTGCCAATCCTCTGGGATCGGCTACTCCGCTTTCGGCTCTAGAGCTATGGAGTTGTCCGGTGCGTTTGGCAATTTACTGTGGAGATTTTCACTTTTGTGCAAGTGCTTGTCTTGCTCCCTTTCTCTCTCCGAACAAGTGTGATCGCTGAGTTGGATCGCAGATTTGACTGATCACCTTGAGCTCAGTCCCTTAGCACATGGGTGACTATGTCGTCCTGTTGGGGGACAACCCATGCTTTAATTCTTCTGCGCATACTTGCACTTTTTAGCCAGTTCATTAGAAGGGCGTGTAGTGTCTAAGATGGCCATGGTCTATCCCTTTCACAGTTAGCGTTTTAGCTGAGGCGTGTTGGGAAGCACTTTTTTTTAGCGAAACTTATGAAATTCGGAAGCTTACAGATAAAGGAGGCGCTTTAGGTTCCAGTCAGCTAAAGGCTTCCAGTCACCGAAACGCGGTGATGCAATTATCGACAAAACGTGATTTAAATACAACCTCATTAACAATTCCGAGGTGGAAAATTGAAGTTTTTCAAGCTTGCTGTCTATTTCGAGCTCGGGCTCCCTCCTGGAGCATGAGAGAGGATTTGTGCTTGGTTTGAAAATAATCAGCAAACGTAGAAACGGTGAGTCCCAGTATTTTGAGCCTTGAGCGCTGAGGCGCTGACACATCATGTTATGCGTGCGGCCGGGAGAGGTCTCTCACAATAATGTTATCACCTGGCATACAGACACCACAAAGGCCACCACAATAAAATCACGTTCGGATGAGCGGTCTGAAACACCCATTCTTGTAGAGAGTTCAGAGCAAGGAGCCAAATAGGCCATGAAGCGGAATACAATAACGGCAGCCAATAAGACCAGCTGAGGCGTGAGAGTTCTACGGGGAGAATTTCTGACAATTAACTATTTAGCGTTACTTTCGGATCAAATACGAGAAAAATAACGCAATTTTTCGTTTTCTTGTATCGTAACGAGTCAACTTTGGGCTATCGATATATGAGGGATGTAGTAATGTCATGCGGTTTATTACCGCAATTCCTTAAAGTTTCTTTTTTCCAAAAAATGCAAAAAGTCGCACTGCCGTCAACTCATTGAATCTTCTTCTTCTCTCCTGCGTGGAAGTCTCTTCGCACGCGTAAAGGCCGCTGCCTTCTGTCAATGCTCCGTCGGCGTAGTCCTAACTAGCATCGTAATGTAACGTAAGCTGACAGGGACCTCTGCAGGTGTGGACCCAACGCGTTCACTAGCGGTGTGCTTTCTACAAGATAGGATAATTCCGGGGCTTGCATTAAATGGGTCTGTCGCCGTAGAAGACGCCCTGGACAGAGCAAAATGGGTACCCGACAGGAGGCCGTGACTATCACAAAGCAGAAGTTGCACAGGTCACAGCGCGTACTGTAATGATTTCGAATCAAGCTGAATAGAGTGTACCATTGGATGTGCTTCATCGCACATCATGCGCTGCGACTCGTCCGCCGAACCAGCTTCCTTGTCGTGCGACGGGCTTCCTGTCGGGTACCCCATCGCAACCTCCCCACTCACCGCAATTGATTTGGAGGTCTGCGCGCTTTCTTGCGTGTTTTGTCTTCTCTGGCCGCTCTGTCTCTCTACATATGCTCAATGGTATACTAGGCCCTTAAAATTTTTCGATGATTTCTCTCGCTTTCTTATCCATTTTCAGTTCACTACGCATCTCAATCATTGTCAGGAATTACTTCAGGTGGATAATAGTCTAAGCCAGAAAACCGTCACCTTCACACTCCCTAATTTTTTGGGCGACACCCCATCCATCTCCCAAAGGGGTCCAGGTACGACCCCGTGCTATACGAAGTTATTACGCCAGAGCCATTGGATAGCTAAGGTGAAGGTGGTGGTTCGCCAATTTGACGCACAGCATAAACATATGAAAAAACAAGATGTGAAAGAAAATCGTGATTACGCGGGAGTTAGCCCCATATATATGTAAGTCTAGCTTTCCAACCGGTACCCTGAATACAGTCCACCTGAAGTCTTACTGTACTGTGCTTGTCCTTAGCTGATCGTATGGATTGACGTAAAGGTACGTGTGTTTTTTCCTCCGTGTGATCACGCCGGGTGTCGAAGATCTAGTAGGTGTGTAGAGATTTTTGGTCGTATACTCATAAACTGGACTTCCATCCTCTTAGGCTCCGAAGAAGGCGAACTCGCCTAAACTTCAGCCAATAAACTGTCAATATCAAGCTCGTGCAGTTCAACAACAGCTACACATTGAATCCGTGAGTATTCAGAGCCCTTAAAAATAATATAGATTACAAGCCACAATTTACAACAAACCAGCGTGACGAAGTGGAAAAGGCGAAAAGGATGCAGGCAAACTCGAAAACTCGCAAGCCGCGGCTACGTGACTTAAGCGTTTAGACAGAGCGAGCACCCGAAGTAAAGCGTGAATTATAATGTTCTGCTGTAGTCACGTACAATGCGCGACGCATTGACGCGCTGAAGTGCGTGCTCGCCTCCCACTATTCGTTTTCTCTGCGCTCTCTCAAAGGAGAGAGAATATGTCGAGCCAACCCGCCAACTATACTGAGCGCCGTTCATGTAGGAGGTGGAGGATGGCACGCACGCCAGAGTGGCTTTTCGGAACGCTTCATGCCTAAACGGGTTTTCTTCGGCTACGTTGCGGCTAGGAGCGCGCCAAAATTCACCTACGAGGCGAGGCGCGGTAAGACAAAAAATCGGAAAACAAACTCCTTAAAGCAACAGTCCCAGCAGGGTGCTGCTTCTTTCAATACTAATGGCACTAAAGGATACGCAGGCCCTATTGGAAAAACATCTGTGAAATGAGTGTTGTTATAAGAAAACTCACCTGGGAAAAGCCCAAAAGGGCAAATTGTACGACGTAGAACCACATTAACCAGCGGTCTTCACTCGCAAATTACGTCCTGGGATGGTGCTTAAAACCACACACATTCTGAATTATATTAGGTAGGGTTGAAAACGTAGCTGACATCTGCTTCCAAAAACTACATGATTATCATACAAGCCGGAAGGGCTTCCGTTACGAAGGAGACTACCCATTCTACAGAATGCGCACCCTCCAAAAATTTTTTCCAATGGGAGGTCATATGATCCTTCAAATGCGACTTTCGCAGAGCTATAATAGGAATATGGGGAACTTCAAGATACACTCCAGATACATTTTCTATTCTAAAATGTCATCATAAATTTTGTGAACGTTCACTTTTCCTAAACATTCTCTGTTCGCACTTTTCTTCATGCACGGTGCGGGCGGTTTGTGAACTTTTAGGTGACCATACCTTCACTCTTTCATCCTTGTGCTGCGAATTTTTAATGGCAAGAAATATAGTACTATTCTGATTTCCAAAAGACCTAACCCATTTTTTTTCAAATTCAATTTTCCGTAAAATTTACACCTTCACCTTTTGCGGGTTTTCCCGGATATTTTTTTGTTGAAGACGTGAGTTTTAGGCTTCTAGTGTCTACAACTTCCCCCTTTTCGTTTTTATTTCAAACTTTTGGTATGGCAAGAAAGTACAGAAAGTGTGCTTCCTAATAAGCGCTTGGCACTTTCTCGAAGTTCATTTTTGGAAAAGATTTCATGTTCGCATTCTTAGCTTTTCGAGCAATAACTCAAGTGTTTGAGGCTTTTAGCAATCCACAACTTCCTCGAAATATCTGGCTGTGGAGGAACGAATTCATTTTTGATTTTGGCTTTTATGCTTCAAAACGAAATTCTCTTGAAGAGAGCTCCCTCGAAGCATCCTGCCTTCAACCTTCTTTTTCATCTAAACATCTATGAAGAAATGAAAGGGTTTGCCGAAAACCGATTCCAAGCCCTACGGAAGAATAACCACGTAAACCTTCGCAAGATATGATAATTATAAAAGCAGCAAGGCTTCCTTGCTCCTGTAAAATTTTCGCGTCACCTCACGCTTCGTTGTGCTTTGGTGGTCCAACACGGAAGATTCCTATCCATGCTCCTCACTCCACAACCAATGACAAACAGCCCCCGGCTGGGATGGCTTGGTACTAGGAATTGCAACCTCCTCAGTCCATGAGCGAAATGCGACCCCTCCGTTCGAATTGTCCGATTGGCCATTGTCAGCCTTTAGCTGTCTTTGAGCGACTCCCAATAACCGCGTCAATCTGTCCTGCCTTCACAAGTAACCTCCCCTTCAAAAAGCGAGAAAGTGTCGGGTGCAGAACAAACACCACAACTGACGACGGCCTCCAAGTGAAATCTGGTTAGAAGTTGTTCATAGTGATAGCTGATTTCTGGTGATAGTTGTAATTAGTGACAATCGATAGAATACAACTGCAACAGGCTAATCATTTCATTGGCAGAAAACATTAACATTTTGTGAAGGCCGTCGTCACTTGTGGTGCATGGTCTGCACCCGACACTTTCTCGCTTTTTGAAGGGGAGGGTAGTAATCCCTCTATCGTGTGAGCGGCTAAGTTGTGTCGGTTTTCCTCTCTGCCGTTCCCAAAACAAAGTGATAAGGCAATAAGCCAAGCGCTAATAAACTCGCCGGGTATCTCGCAGTTATTACGCTGGATTCAGGAAACGATCTATTCCACGTCCTCCATTTTATTCATTGCAGACGTTTTAATTGAAATATCTGCGAACACAGGTAGGATGGAAGATAGGTGGGATGAAAGATGTGACTGTCGAGTTGAAGTAAAGGTTGAGCAGTAAGTGAAAACAGGAGTTTGTTATGCAATTACGGGCTCTGTGCACGTCTTCTTGAAGGGTTCTACCCATTAAAAGCGGTTAGTGCCCGGAATTCTCACAGAGAGTTGCCAGCTTTGCGCTCGTTGTCTCACTCCGCCTAGAGTGACGAGGTGTTCAGTCTTCGGCTCCGCCTTCCAAGCTTATTCTCTTCTCATGGCAAGCATCGTCCACCCGCCCACGACTTCTCCACAGGTACTTGATAAGCTCGATGTATATATCAGTGCACCTTCGTAAATTCAGGCAAGGATTTATCAAATTTCAAAGGGGGGGGATTTTTTCATCCCCGTTACACCTTTTTTTCTTTCCAAAAGAGTTCCGACTATTGAAAATTAACTCAAGAGAGTAGGAAAGTACACTAGCGACTGTGGAAATGAAAAGCTGCTCAAACGACTATAGCAGATAGAAGGGGGGGGGGGTTCCCAATAGATATCACATGCTGATGCTGGCGTAGTCAATGACTCATAACGGTCCTTCCCTTTCACGATTCACTGAACAGCACCTCTGATTTCTACGTATTGTGAAAGGTCAGCGACTATTCTTTCTAGCGGAAATTAACCTCATGGTTAGGTTAGACGATGGGGTTTGGGTCAAGCTGGCTGCAACCCCCACGGCTAGCTGATTGGGAATTTTCGCAGAGATCTCAAAAACGCAACTGCTCCCCGTATATCTGATGCTAGCAACTTTTCAATTAGAGGCAGGTTTGGAATTCTGGTCGACATTAAACATTTCCCGAGAAAGTACAGCATTACGCAAGCGGAAAGCACATCCACATCCTTCGTTATCATTCGACAAGGCAGAAGTGCTTAGGCCCTAAGATGCAGCATTGGCCCCGCCAAACACAGTTGACCCCCCCTCACAAATCAGTGCTATTTGCTTTGCTGGTACTGGAAAGGGGGTTTTATTTCCAGAATTCAACAGTTTTTCCATCGCTGGCCGCAAACTTTACATCTCCTCTGTCACTTTACTGTTACAATTACACACCGGTTTGATCCCGAACTTTGCCTTCAAATTTTCTAGTTCCTTTAAAGGCAAAGGTCGGGCTCAGGCACGCTAGAGAAGTAATTCCCGTGCCTGGAGGTTGTATGTGGGTAGCTGCACACATTGCAGCAACTTCCCACCTTGAAAAACCCGTTAAGGCCCCGGGGCGTTCGGTTTCAATCCAGGGCCGCCTGGTCAATCCAGGACCGCCCACCTCCGGAAGTGGTGCGTGGCTGGCATAACGTGTGAAATCAGCTAGGTTGATTGCCGTATCAACCGATAGAACGACTGACATCTCCAGAAAACTTGTTTGTACGTGCCTCTTCCCCAAGCCAGCCTCCTTCACTGCTAGTGGGAAAGAGGGTTTTGTTAACGGCCTTGTCGACGGTTTTTCTCAGTTTTTTCTCCACTGTCGTTCCACTTCGCATCTCTATACTCAGTTTCAATCGCCATAATACCCCCTTATTGAGCCCGACTTTTGCCTTTAAGCATGCTAATCAAAATCTTGGCAAGATGTCAGTGCAGCAAATTGACTCACGAAGCCCAGCTTTAATTTGGAATCCCCTTAAAGCACCCATCCACATAAATGGCTTTAGCTTTTGAAGACATGCCCAACTGACAGATGGGTTGTCCCATCTCGTCTTGCTTTTTTAGACAGCTGTCCTGTGGAAATATGAGAATCGCTCCTTTCCGACGGGGTTCATAATGCATGCACAAACAAAAGAAAACGAAATACGAGGATGATGTTCAGTCAAGAAAACAAAAACGAGAGAAATTGGTCCTTTGTCGATTTCTCAGACATGGATGGCTTGTTGTGGATGTTAGACAGAACTGAAGCCGGGCGATAAGGCGAGACATAGTGAATGATGTTGATGAAGCAATACATCCCTTTCAAAGTTGTTTGTCTTGCATTATTCACTGGCAATCTCAATTTTCTCAGCTCAACACTCTGCTTCAGCGACATCATTGCGCTCCTATCTGCTCATTCCTTTGCGGAACCCACTCGCGTCGAGTGTGAGTAGGTTGGGCAATCACGAGTAATTGAAGTCTGATGTGTGAGAACTCTCTCTGAAAGGAACTTTAGTCTTTCTCTTCCACCACTTTGCTTCGTTCGGAACAAAAGCGTTTTTCTTCGAAAAGAATTCCATCGCCATTCAGTTGCGTTCACAAGAATTCCAAGGAATGCAGTATTTATAAATGCCATTGTTGTCGAGCTCGACGAAAGGTCATCAAACAATGGAAGTATTGTTTCAGGAGGAGGTCGACATCAACCTCAACGATCCTCAAGTCGGTGAGGCGGCGAAGAAGATTCAGAATGTTTTCAGGTGAGTCTTCGTTCCAAGAAAAGGTAATCGCTGCTTGACTAAATGTTTTACAAGAAGATCACTCGCCGGGTTAAGGGCTCACTTTTCTTGTCTAGCTATTATTCTATAAAAACTCCGCAAAAATAAAAAAAGCATTCGATTTTGATCTATTTTGTTTTGTTCATAGCCCAGTAGTCTTGTAAGAATCAGTTCTTTAACCTTGATGCCTGGTGTCTCGCAAAACGATAATACGATTTCAATTTGATATAACACCGATTAAAAATAGAGGTTCCGGCGGGTGAAACTCCAGTTCGGGGGGCCACTCCATTGCTATCTTATCCGTAGTACTAGAGAGCAGTTCTTTGGGCTATCGAACACTACGGATAAGATAATAAGTGAACGACTCATTTCGAGCGTACTTTTGATAAGGACCGGTGGATGTCCTACATTCCACACTACCTGCCCACATCCCATCCACTTGATCCACCCTGGAGCTCCTGCACCCTTAGCCCTTTGCGGAGGTGTCCTTTCTCCTGGTCCAGGACCGTTCCCTTGGGTCATGGCAGGCGGAAATGTGAAAACGTTTCAGGGTTTCTCACCCATTACACCAATATTTATCAGAAGTCTACTTTAAATGAGTCGATTACGTGTCGTGAGCCCTCTAATCCTTATCTTGAGTATTGGAGAAAAAAATGGAGGCCCCCCCGAACTGGAGTTTCACCCGTTTCAGCTCCCTTCCTGGATTCCTACTTCCAACAGGACCACCTCCGCCCATTAGTTTAAGCGCTGGGAGGGAATATGTGTACATGATATTTCTTAAGAAGTATTCAGAAGAAAAGGCAGAGAATGTGCGTTGCACTTTTCTCTCGCAATTTGTTCTTTTTGCGTATAGGATGGTATAGGACGCCGGGGCCAGAGCGAATAGAATAGCCAGAATGTGCATTGTTTCAAGGCAGTTCGACGAACGCTACGGCTTCCCCCTCCTCACCCTTCCAACACCTACCCTCTAAGAATGTCGATTGTGGTCGTAACCGGCAGCCACCAGGCCATCTTCACACGTTGTACCCCTCCCCCTCCCCTGCCAGGACCAAGACCCTGACTAAAAAAAAGGAAAAAGGCAGCGGACCAGGTGGGGCTGTATCTACAACAGTATAGCTGCCAAGACAGGAAATTTTCGTTTGATCGACTTCACCCTTTCACGAATACCGATCTAACTCTCCAATGCGATGGATGGATAGAACCACATCTTTCCCACTGTGGGTGGAGGAAACCCCCTGTCACTGCCTTTAGAATCTCACTGCCTACTAGAGTGGGCCAAAAAGTCCTCTCTGGCTCATTTCAGCACGGAGTGAGAGGAGCTTTGGACACGATCTGTAATTGGAAGGATTAAGAGATCAATATGGTGATGTTGTTGTCTGTGAATGTCAGCAGTCATTCCCCAAAGATTTGCTTCCAAGCATGAAAACATAAAAGCCTTTTGGCCACTGGAATAACCTAACAACAGGATTCCCGTTCTTGTCCAACTTTTAGGAGCACGGCTTCTCGAAAAGTCTTCATAAAGCATATAAAATCGTAGATGAATGAGTCATTCTCGAGATTCAAACATTGTCTACCAGAAAAAACATACGCACTACTGAACAACTCATCCAGTTGAAAGCATTTCGCTTTTTTCCAGATTTTGCGCTTCAGCGCCCATTTTCTATAGGTGCAATGAGCGTTTGTGTAATGCATTAGTCACGGCCTTATTCTCTAGCTAACATAAAGATAGTGTGTGTGAAATTTCACCTGGAAGAAGAAATCTCCCTGGTAGGTAAGCTCTCAGAAAATGGATCAAAACAGAATACTCAGCGCTATCCCAAGATTTGGGGCGTCGGACTGGACCTGGGAGGGTGCAGGAATTTTGGAAAAATGAATTGTCTGCTCACGCACCCCGGGATCCTCTTTTCCTGCCTAGACTTGGTCTATTATCAACAAAAAATAGAGCGCATTGCCACCGAAATGTCCCTGCATCTTGAGATAGTGTAGATTGTTCTATATTTTTGCTTTTGAAGGAATGATGCCCCTTCACTCTCTTCATGAATACCGTACATGTTCCTCGGGTCAGGGTCAAACCGCCCGATGTGAAGATCTGAAACGTGAAGCGTTTTCACGAACCCCCTCTCAATATTGTTTTCATCAAATTCAAGGATGTCTTTATTCAATCCCTCCCCCTTACCACCCGCAGCCTTGCGGCTTATTCCATGCTCGAATTTCGCCCATAACACTCCGTTCTATGAAAATTTTTGAACTGCAAAAGAAACCGTCAATACCTCTTTTAGTCCACTGCGCAATCTCCAACCTCCACCACATAACACCGTCTGAACTCTCATATACGCCCCTTCCCTTACCGGGGAAAGTTTTCAAATCCCCATGGAACTTTAAATTGGGTCTAGGCACATCCATAGGACCTAGAAGGTTGGTTACAAATATGGAAACCAAAGCTGCTACGAGGGCTGCCAGGGAAGTTATGGACGGTAAAAGCTGGTTGTCAGTGCTACGTTGGTACGATGATTTTTCGTGAAAGCTTTCTTCCAAAGGGTAACGATTGTCCCGATTGCGAATATGGCATCTACTCTTGGCACTCGTAGCACCAGTATGGAAGCCCTCACCTGAATTTAAAAAAATTTTTGGCGTCAAGATGAATTGAAACGTGGACCAAATTGATCATTCGTAACTTTCTTGGCAGGCCTACCTAGCCGTTTTGAACTTAAGGTTTATGTTCGTCGATTCGCCTAGGAAGCAATATTATTATATGTTAATGAGGAGTTTAACGCCTTTCCTGGTTAGCACCATCACAATGTGCAAAAGCAGAAACATACAATGCTCCTCAGAAAATCCTGAATGGGACCTTCTCCGTTCAACTAGACATAACAGACACATCAGCACCAGACCACGATCACGTCATTAATTCCAGAAATGGCCTTTCACCTTTTCATTCAAAGAAAAGCATCAAAGAACCGTTCTGATGAAAACAAGGCGCTTATCCTGGTAATCGCGGCCTTGCCAGTAATGTAAGGGAAAAGTGTTTTCCTACTGTAATCTGTGCGGGAAGAGGCCCCATTAACTCTTAGAAATACCGCGGAACAAAAACGCTGCACAGCACTGAATACTTATTACATCTCCCATGATTCCCTCCCTCTGCAACACTTTTGGCCCTATCCGTATCTGGCAATTTATTTCACAGTCAGCTCTACAGGATAATCGCCATGTTTTTCATCAAGACATTCTTGACTTTCCTTTCACCTCTCTCTTTGATGAATTAAGTAGTGTTTTTGTAAATGACGTAGATAGCCGTAACACTGTTATTATGGTGCTATCAGTTGTATCCGCGATTTTATTAAACGAGATATTACATACCAGTTGGCGCCGCACGCATTGCGCGCGCAACACAGATCTGTGGCGAATTTTGATGGTGCGACGAAAAATTTCAAATTTGGCTTGATACAATACGAATATCTGAATTCTCCGCTAAATTCTATGCGCTCTTTCTTCGTCAACCATTATCCTATTTTTCTCGGTCCTCGGCCCGGACAATAAATCTCGTGGCGAACTCCGTCTACTTCGGTGCGTGCCCTGCCGACCAATAGCATTTGGCTCCCTTCTTTTCGCCGACCTCTACCCCCTTTTTCACCGGTCTCTGGGACCTCTTGGAACCAAATTACGACACTTTTGGCAAACTCCGCCCACTTAGGTGCGTGCTCTACCCAGTGATAGCAGTTGAGCTCTTTTCCCTCACCAACCTCTAACCCCGTTTTCCCCTATCTCTAGGACCTCTTGCAACCGAATTGCGATACTTTTGGCAAACTCCGCCCACTTGGGTGCGTGCTCTACCCACTAATAGCATTTGACCTCCTTTCCTTCGCCGACCTCTACTCCCTTTTTCCCAGCCTCCTGGACTTCTTGGGGCCGAGTTATGAATTTTCGTCGCAAACTCCGCCCACTTTGGTCATGTCCCTCCCACCATTGACAGCTGGCCTCCACTCCTCCACCCACCTCCATCCACCTTTTCCGCGGCCTCAGGGACTTCTTGGAGCCAAGTCATGAATTTTCGTCGCAAACTCCGCCCACTTTGGCCAAGCCCCGCCTACCACTGGCCTTTGACCTCCACTTTCCCACCCAACTATATCTTCTTTTTTCCCCACTCTCCGGGACCTTCTGGAACAGAGTTCTGAATTTTCGTCGCAAACTCCCACCCACTTTGGTCAAGCTCCGCCCACCGATGACAGCTGGCCTCCACTCCTCCACCCACCTCCATCCACCTTTTCCCCAGCCTCCGGGACTTCTTGGAGCCGAGTTATAAATTTTCGTCGCAAACTCCGCCCACTTTGGTCAGGCCCCGCCCACCAATGACAATTAACCTCCACTCCTCCACCCACCTCTATCCACCTTTTCCCCAGCCTCCGGAGCTTCATGGAGCCGAGTTATAAATTTTCGTCGCAAACTCCGCCCACTTTGGTCAGGCCCCGCCCACCATTGACAATTAACCTCCACTCCTCCACCCACCTCTATCCACCTTTTCCCCAGCCTCCGGAGCTTCATGGAGCCGAGTTATGAATTTTCGTCGCAAACTCCGCCCACTTTGGTCAAGCCCCGCCCACCATTGACAGCTGGCCTCCACTCCTCCATACACCTCTATCCACCTTTTTCCGGCTCTTTAGGACTTCCCCGACCCGAATTATGAGGGCTTGTAGAAAATGCTGTACACTTCAGAGCGCGCCCCGCCCATTCTGGGCAGGCCTCCGCCCACGTCATGTATGCAGGAAACACCTTAGACATTGCTCCCTTACACCAATTGTTTTCTGCTCTGTAGGCTTTCTCCCAACCGAGTTATGAAATTTTTCATAAAGCACTGCTTTTTTAGAGAACGCCCCGCCCACCGGGGGTGGGTCTCCCTAATTCGATGTGACTTACCAATGCACACCTTACCCACTTTTTGGCCCAGTTTCGAGGTCGTTTTGTCACTGAAATCGAAATCTTGGTCTTCGGTACAATTCATTTCGACGCACGCCACGCCCTCTGTGGGCGGGGCTCCGCTTAGCTGATGTGTGTTTTGTATTACGTGAGACCCTGCCCACCCATCCCACACTTGACCCGGTCCCTCCAGGCGGATCCCGAGGAGCTAGGGAATTTCGTGACAGACATACAGAACGACAGAGGGACAGAACGACAGACAGAGGGACGGACAGAACGACAGACGAAGCGCTTTATAGTAAGTAGGATATACCATCGATATTGTCACGCGATTCTGTTTTCTTTCTTCACCTTCTGGCCTAGATATGAATTACTATTACTAGAGTTAGCGATGTACATATTGCCAGCAAGAACTTTTAGTTTGATCTTCGAAAGCTCTCGCTTGATGGCAAGCTCATCTCAACCTCAAGATTAGGATCAAATTAGTGTGGTAATACCACTCAAATGTACAAGTAGGAAAGGGAGATAGACCGACCGCAAGTAGAGAAAAAAGGAAAGAAAATTGTGAAAAAAAACACAGAAAATACAAGCCTTCCATCTCTACGCTGCGGCAAAGCCTAGAGAAACACAGAAATGAGAGATAATGTGACTCTGTGGAAAGGTGTAAACTAAATCCAATGTCCAAAGAGACAGAGATATTTAACACTACACAGATAAATATCGGAATGCAGTGGGCCGGACTGTTGTGATTCCTACTGGTTGTAGATTATATCAGTCGCCGCACTTAGGATGTCTCACAAGGGGAGGTCTTTCAGGGCAAGGTGCGCTTTTTCAAAACGGTTTTGTGCATATTGTAGGGACGCATGTAGGGAAACGCAAAACCATGTTTCATTTTCGCTGAACGGTTATAGCAGTACCAAAAAAGAAGCATAAGGTACTGTTAAGGGTTCGATCCCCCGTGGCGACTAAATTTTGCATTTGGGTTGGCGCCTACGGTTTGGTGCCAAATCGCGCTAAATATCAAAATCAGATGTCAAATTCATCGTCAGGACCATTTTGAAGCCAACAAGTGGCCGCCAACCTTGATTGCAAAATTTAGTCGCCGCGGGGATCGAACCATCGGGTATCATTCACCACTTTTTTGGTATACTACTAAAACCGTTCAGCGAAAACGAAACATGGTTTTGTGGTCCATACATGCGTCCCTACAATATGCAAGAACCGTTTCCAAAAAGCGCGGCTTGCCCTGAAAGACCTCCCTTGTAGTGACTCATTTCGACTGCGAAGTTGGCGCGACTTCTGTAATGGCGGGCGACACAGCTCTGTTCACGGACGCTACTGCTTCAGTGGGGCTAAGCCCTTACCTGGTCTTCAAGAGAGCAGCCAAGAGAGCGGCCCTTACCTGGTCTTCAAGAGATCAGCCAAACCCTTCCCTAGTGTGAATGAAGTTGGAAAGCTTCCGCTGCTTATTTCTAAGGCAGTCATTGTTCCTTACAATGCGTACAGTTATTTAGTGGTTCATCGGGAACGAAGATCCCTTGGTTCCTGGAGAATTTGTGATTTTTTGATCTTTGACTTCGAACATGAGTGATTTGAAGGAGTCATACCCTAGGAGTGGAGCCTGCAGTTCGAGTTTGGCACAAACATTAGGGTGGGCTGGCTTTTGGGTTAAACTATGAGGACATTGTGTTGTTGTGTGTGGGTCTTTAAGAGTATGTGTGCACAAACGAAAGGAAAGTGATTCGAGCGGAATTATCTGTCCAGCTTACAGAGGTACGAGCGAGCAAAGCGCTTTCACAGTGTTGTGGTGTGTGTACTAATTAATGAGCTAATTTTTATTCTGGAGTTAGATAAGCTCGTTGTAGCAGTTTAAAGTTGAGTTAGCTGGTGAAGGAGTTCATAAACGCCAAATGTAATGTATACTACACCAAGCCCCAGTGTTAAGGGAGCCCAAGTTTAAAGCTAAGGGCACTTCCACAACCGAGCAAAGTGAGCAAATCTACTTTCCTTTCAAGACGAAGTGCCTACAAAAGTGGAGACTGTAGGGTTAAAAGGACTAAAAGCACTTGTAAAGCAGAGCGTTAAGGCGTTCTCGCTCCGCTGAAGTTGTAGCTGCGTTTGCTACGCTGCGGTCCACATAGCGGAGTGTCTCCCTTTCGCACATCCTCTAGGGTGCCTTGTCTGCCCTACTGATGGCGACTCTTGATTGTAGAGTAACCCACGCCCATGAAACCTGGCTTCAAAGGCTCTTACCGTCATTAGGTTGGTAGAGCAATCGGTTTCTTAGATGGGACAGCTTATTCCAATTTCGCAAAATTGTGACAACTTTTGCGCCTCGAAAGTGCTCAAAATGCCAAAGGAATTTCTTCACCTAGTTATAAGCGATCGGCTAGGCCGCGGTGCAACACTAGAGCTATCTGTGATCTCTCGTTAAACATGCTCTCTCGTCTGCACCCTCACCACAATGCAAAGTGTCTCGTCGTCTGTACACATTTCGCACCACTGAAAAGAGTAGGCCCTTATTTTGGGTGAATAGCTTGGTTCCCTTTGTTTTCCTCGTTGCCGGCCCACATCTCACTTCATTTCGAGCGCAATAATTGGACATAGCAGATCGCGATGTGTGGCTTTGATTTCAATATTTTCAACGGTTTGCTCTCGTTTTTTCTTTACTGACGGTTTACCTTGCGCCTCTACTTCCATTTTCAAACTAGTTAACAATTTCTTACGTCTATGAAGTATGCTGTTTATATTTCGCGCTCTGGAGCGCTATCCTCAATACTATTCGTAATCCTTATGCTGGAGCAGCAGCAGCTCTTATTGAGTTGTTTCAGGAGCAAAAAGCTGGACAAGAAGTCAAACGCTGCCGCTGAAGTTGCGAACGGTTCCACTGGTGTAAGCGGATGAGTCAAGGAGCTATGGGTTATGTCCAGAAGGTCAACCTGTGTAGATTCCTATACTTATAAGCAAGCTTTAGAGCACTATTTTAGTACAACTATTTTGTTACCATTTTTCACATGCAAACAATAAATGTACTCTATTCTTGTCGAAGCAGCACAGAAAACTCCCAGGAAATTCCATTGATCACAGACGTAGAACTTCGGAAATATTCCTAATAGGCCGGCTGAGCCCACAAATAACAAATAAGGACTCATTCTCACACCACATGGAATACTAGATTCCACTGCAAACAATACCTCTAGACATTACCTGAAAAACATCCATCATTCGCCTAAATCGCTATCTCCTCTGTGCTGATGCTGAGCAAACGTGAGAAGAGGAGGTAAAAATGCTATCAGAGCATCAGCATATGTCTTCATCGTCCTCACGTCCCACATTTGATAATACACGCCATAACTTTTTACCTCGTTCCTCTCTCCGCCCCCCCCCCTTTAACTGGGAACCCCACCGTCTTATCTATTACAAATTACCACAGTAGGTTACCATTAACCTCTTCATACTGAACATAAGACTGCTTGAAAAGGTAACCACGGGATATCCCATCAAATCAAGTGGCTGAATTACATCGATGAAGGCCTTGGGAGAATATTTTTTCTTATCCTTGTAAATGATGATTCCACGATACCGCACTTATGTACATCACATTTGAGCTTTTCCACAGTAGGCATAGATGTCCATGTATTCGTGTGTAAGATAAGAATTGGAGAGGTCCAAATAGCTTCAGGCTGACCCGAGAAAATCGGCAAACTTCCTAAAAATGTTTGAATTTTTTTTGATTTTTTTTGAATTTCGAACTTCCTAGGACTAAAAATCTTCAATATGTGTTTGGAATTTAGCCCAAGACCCTGGCAGTTTGCAGGGGTCCATCCAGATTCCTCAATCAAATGCTATGGTAAGAGCAACGGATTGTGAGCGGAACAAAGGAAAGAAAAACTGCGAATACTTTATTATACACTTTCAATAAATAAATAGATGGTTCCCAGCGAATTAATCTTGCCGCCTCCTTTACATCACCTGCTTGGCATTGAGCTGAAACAAATCCGAATTTTTTATGGCAATGAAGTTCAAGAAAGATTATTCGACTGACCACGCCAAGCACTTTGCCCTTGTTGAACTGAACGATGTTCTCAGGCGATCTCCGTGGCCACTCTCAGCTGAGCGTCGATTGTCGAAGCACCCAGATGAGGGGTGCAGATCGCCTTTGGATGCTCCACTAGACCGCGATATTTGGGAGGCTCCTGGAACAGTGCTTTAAATTTCGTTGAGCTCACCAGGAACTACCAAACACCCCTCAATTGCAGTTCAAGCCGTTTGTTGTGTGCTGTTGGAAGAAAATCGGAATTAATTTTCACGCAGAACGGGAAACGGAACAAAACAAGCACTGCAGGGGCGGTAGAGTACTGCTAAAGTGATGGTGGTTTACTGTGAAGGCTGAATGTGTTTCATTGGGGACTGCTGAAGTAGTTCATTCATTGACTCTTCCAGACGCCTCGAAGTAGCCAGAAGCCATTTCTGAGCCATTTCTTTCAAAAACAACCTATACTTGGAAACAATAAATTCAAATTCACTTAGACGGTCAAAATCGGATTGTACCAGAATGAACCTTGGGCAAGTTATCCTCAGTGAGCAGGGTCAACCGTCCGTTGGACAAAGTCCAACGAGGGGGTCGTATTCGGCCGACGAAAAGGGGGGGGGGTCGTATTCGCAAGGTCGGAGGCAGCGTCAATCCTACACCAACGGGGTGTAACGCTTTACGCTTTGTGAGTGCTAAGAAAAAATTTGCCGTTTCACTGTTGATTGTACTCCCTGCTCCAGAAGCTATTTTGGAAGTACTAACAGCTCTAATGGTAAGGGTTCGTCAATGGTGGACCTCCTGAGCCTCCTGGTAATGGAGGGGGGGGGGGGAGAGGGGCTGTGAAAATTTTCCAAAAAGTTTCAACGAGAGGGTTGACCCTGAGCGGGGTCGTATCGAGGCCTCCTGAAGGTGGATAAAAAAAGGATAAAGCATTTGCCGTTGATCAATCCCTTTTTGGGATGCGGCACGCATTCTACTTCCATTTGTACATTCGTAGTGGCGTTTGAATGCGATGTGGCCTATACAATGACTTGCGGGGGCCAGCCGATGTACAAGTCAGTGTTTTTATCCTCCCAGACAAGTCTGGTACCAATTAACCGACCCCGGAGGGATGGAAGGCTTGGTTGGCCCGGGCGACTCACGACCCAGGATTTGATCCCCGGACCGCTCGCGTGGTAAGCGTGCCACTTGCCACTACACCCTTGCCTGAAGGGGGGGTCGTAAAATTTTTGAAATTGAAATTTGTCTAACATGACGGTTAACCCTGTCAGTGAGGGCAGCATTTGTAGGTGAGAAAAGTGGGTCGTAATCGGAATTGGATCAGGAGCTGGAGTATTCTCCAGCTTCTCCCTCCAGTTGTAGATGGGTTATTTGTTCTGTGCCTTACGAGGTTGCTAGGTGA